TTGTACGCGAAAACTTGCCCATCCGCGCGCGCGCGAGAGAGAGGCAAAGAGGAGCGCAACGTGACATTTCGAGATAAATCGAATGGAAAACTTTTGCCGCGCGTAGACCTGCGAGTAATGGAACAATTTCATTACTTCTATTCAATTTGTAATATAGTTTTTGAAGAGGAAAGTTGCTGCGCGCGCGCTGGCACGAAAGAAATAATCCTTTCATTATAATTCAAAACAGAGTTTCAGCAAGTCCACTTGATGACGAACCCGGGGCCAACTATTTTATTACTTCTACTTTATTAGTGTGTACCAGCTCTCGCTTTCTCTCTCTCTCCTACTCGAGTTTCTCTCTTTTTCTCCCTCTCTCTCTCTCTCTCTCTCGGGTAACTTTTACCTCGTCTACTTACCAGTTGGTCGAAATCGTGACATTAGTAGCGGAAGAACTTCTCCTTACATAATGATCTTCGACTGTGTACGTGTATGTGTGCGTCTGTGCGTGTGAGAGACGGAGGGAGGGAGGGAGAGACAACCGAGAGAAGAGAAAGAGAGGAAGTGAGAAAGAGTAAACTACACTCTCGATTTAGCTGCATCCAGACCGCCGTTGGCCTCGACCAGCAGATTAAAGCCGATTAAGTCGCTTGAAAAACTCCTTGCTCTCCGACGCTTACATAAAAAAAAAAAGAAAAGCAGCAGTAACTTGATGAAAATTGCGCCGCGCGGAGAGAGAGAGAGAGAGAGAGAGAGAGAGAGAGAGAGAGAATCCAGCGCAAGCAGCAAGTAGTAGTTTTCTAAACCGATGTAACCCTTTTTAATCTCGCGCTGTATATTTCATACGCGCTTGACTGCGTAAAATGAGAAATTTTTGTGAAAATATTCACCCGCGCGCAACGGGTTGCGTGAGAAAAAGAAAAAGAGGCTGCAGCTGCTTGCAACAAAACACCGCGACGTCTTTTACGAGCGGAAATTTTAATATTCGGTAATCGTCCGTGCTTCATCGACGACAAGAACTAACTCGCGCTCGCGAGTTCGAGTAAAGATATCATTGTGTGCCGCACAGTCGTGTTCAACGATCGTAATTGGCCGATCCAGCAAACAGCAGCAGCAGCAGCAGCCTCCGCGTTTCGAGGGCAAACTTCGAACGTTCGGAAAAAAGCAGCGCGCTTCCGTAACTTTTAAACATTTTTTCATACTTTCCGGCCTCTTTGCTATTAGGAACAATTGAACGAGCTCAAATTTCATATTCTTGCGCGTAAAAGCTCGCTACGCTCGCGCTCATTTCTCACTTTCAATTCCACGCGGCTGACTTCTTCAAAAGTATACGCGCGGGTTAAAAGGTAAACGCGCTGCAGCAGTCAGCCAGCCACGGGTTCGCAAAAAAAGAAGGGAAGGAAAGGAAAAAATTAAGTGCGAGAAAAAAAGTTACACGGCAGACGCCGCCGCCGCCGCTGCTGCTGCTGCTCTGCCATTTTTCTTTAAATGAAAATTTAATTTTTCAGCTGCTTGCCCTTGAGAAGCTCGCGCGCGCCATTACCGCGCACCGCCAACTTATATACACGGTTTGAAAGAAGCGCAAGCTCATTTGCTAAAAAGGTCAAGAAAGGTAGGTAGGTAGGAAATGTACGTATTTTTCTTTCGCCGAGACGTAAAATAATTTCTCTAACAAGCATCGGCAAAGGTGCCCCCCCCGACTCGCAACGCGCATACATTATATGTAATACCTAACGCTGCTGCGCGTGCACGAGTATAAGAAAAGGGACAAGTTTACCCTCTCTCGCGTCTAGTATCCATGTCGACGTGTACGAGTCGGCGAGACGCGAGCTCGAGCTCCAAACTTTGGGCGCCGATAATTAATGACGACTGTAAGTCAAAAATGAGCTCTCCTCGTGAAACTTGTTAATGAAGCCGAAAACAAATGGATTAGTTGCAAATACCCAACATCATCGCGTCTCGTAAACAAGTATACGCGCGGTATAAGTAGAGTCACTGTAGAGTCAAAATACAATTACACCGACGCGTATGTATACGCGGGGCGCTTCAACTTGAAAAATGTCTCTCGCGCGCGCGCTCAACGAAGCGGATTATCGATCTCTCTCTCTCTCACTGGCAAAGTCGCTCATATAAACATCAGCGCGGCGCTTTTAAATTGGAGCCCGCCGACGACGCGTTTTTATACGTACACGTATATATACGTATATATACTTTTTTACACATGGAGAATCATTACTCGCGGGAGTGCAGCTCGCAAGATTAAATTTCTTTGCGCGCAGGCGGGCGGGCGGGCGGGCGACAGCGTGTTATATCTAAAGCAGCGAGCATTTTTCAAGCTGCTCAGGAGCTGCGCAGCACTGCAGTGCATATACATGTACGCGCGCGCGCGCTAAGGAAGTTATGTGTAGCTGCACTAGCAGCGGGGTTGAATGTATAAAAAAAAAAAAGAAGAAAAAAAATAGGGAAAAGAAGTCAAGGCAGTAAATGAAGCGGTACAGGAACTACTACAGGAGCGCAGGGGGAGGGCTGTACATGCGCCGCACACATTCTGCAGGAGTGTACGGGTATAAAGGTAGTCGAGGGGGTGTATATAGGCGACGATAATACGAGCGAGTTCTTCGAGGCACGCGGGCGACGCGAACGGTATAGCTCCGTGGATAAAAAATAAAAATGCGCGCGCAAGGTTCATTGCACCATTATTATTACGGTGGTGTGTGCGCGCGCGTCGCGTGAATTTCGTCATTAATTAATTTAGTGGTACTGCCGCGTCGCGAGAGTGAGCTTGTAATGACTCATTTGTGCTTTATAGATACTGAGAGCAATTAATTTTCTTTCTCGCTGTTTTTTTTTTTTTTTTACCTTTTTCATTGCCGAGCTTTATATCTTGACGGCACTGAGTGCGCCACGCGCAACTATTTCGGCGAGGGGTGGGGGTGGAAGAAAAAGTTTGCTCTCTCTGCATCGCGCGTGCATATAAAGAAAACGAGAGAGGACCCTTTTTGGCTCGAGTATACTTTTTGGTTTTCACAGAGAGAGGGAGAGAGAGAGCTTTCAAGTTTCCTGGATTACGAGCGAAAGAGTATATTATACATATAACGTAATGCGTGCGCGTACGCTGGCTTTTCATTTAATTATTTCACATCGAGTAGCTCCATTCTTTTCTCCACTATTTTTTCGTCTATTTTCCTAACGACGCGATTGGGAAAAATATTACAAGGATTTTTTCGCTAGGCACCGAAAACAAAACAAAAAAACAATTTTTTTTTTTTTCGTAATTGAATGAATCGAGCGCAATTGAACAAAGGTTGAAAATGAAAAGATTTCAAAGCTCCCGCGCGCGCGCGTGCATTTCTGGCCGAAACAACTGAACAAACTTTTGCAGCTGGTGCAGAAGCAGTGGCAGGAGGCAAGGTAACGAAAAAAAGGTCGGTGCTTGCAAGTGAAGGGCACGCGAAGCAGCACCAGGCAACTACTCTCTTTGTACGAATCTCGATTCGCACCAATGCGCGCTCCTTTACCTTTTTTTTGTTGCTTCCTGTTGCTGTTTTTGTGTGGAGCTTTTTTCGAAAGCTTTATTGCACCTTTCTCGCTTAAACGACGAGATTGTGCGCCATTTTTAAAATTCGGTGTTATTGCGTCAATTTTTTAAATCAACTACTTAAAATTATAAATCGCAAGCAATGAGGACCAAAATATCGAGCTTTTGAGTATAAAAAGTAGCTCCAGTGGTTCAATCTCTTTCTCGCTATCAGAGGAGCGCTATAGGAAAAATGGAAGACTCGAGAGAAGGGACGAAAAGCGGACGCGGACACGCGCGAGCAGAATAAACTCGGATACTCGCGTATTTTCACCTTCTCAAAAAGCCAGACAGCTACACGTAAAACGCGGTATATCTATATCGGCCCCGAGCCGTGTGGAGGCGCGCAAGAGGGCCGGCGATAAATAAATAAAGTGTCCATCGTTGCGGTCGCACGAACGCCTCCGAGCTGTAGTGCCAAAAAAAAGAAAGAAAGAAAGAAATAAAGAAAGAGAGAGAGAGAAAAGAAAGAGAGAACGAGAAATAAAAGCCACTTGAATACGTGACGTGTATGCATCTCGCGGCGTTGGTGCACGACGGGCGAGCCTATATATAGTAGCCCTTTAATATACGCCGTACACCGCCCGTGAACATCAAATATTTTATTTATCAGCCTCGAACGACAACGAGATGACTTTTGAACGAGTCCACGCGTTCGGGCAGGACACGTCTGCGCGAGATAAGACGAAACGGCCGTGGCAATGAGCTGGTATGCATTAAATTTTAAAAAATTCAGTGATATCGCTTTTTTGGGGGGTGATAAGAAGTCTTGAAGGTAGCTTTATATTTCTGCTGCTCGCAGTTTGATATCGAAGCATCTTGAAAAATGTACGTATAATGTCCAGAGTATAAGTCGATGAATTTTTATTTTAATCATTTTCAAAGTTGTTTAGAATCCCGTTTCCTGACATTATATCAATATAGTTTCATCATAAAAAAACCATAATCTCTCTTTATCATGCACCTTTTTAAAAAATCTTTCAAGTGATGCCAGTGATTGATATGTTCATTATCGAATTTAAAAAAGTCTGAAGAATTTGGAAAAAATTATGGGTGGTATTAAGTAGTTTTTAAGTGACCGCTAGATATCGTGCAGCCCGAATTACCACTCCCATAAGGGAATAAGAAAAGTTTAGCACATAAGTCAGGCGTTTTCTAATTCCATAACTGATAGTCTCCATTGATACTGAGTATAAGTTATTAAGCGTATATTGCGTTAGTACGTTCCTATGCCATAAAGTGAGCCAACTTTCGAAACGAATTCTTTCAAATATTTATCAGCACTTGTACATCTATTTATTTTGATTTTTGACCATTGATTAGATGTTAAAAAAAATATTTTGACACAAGTTTTTAAGAGTGCCATTTTAATTTAATGAATAATTTGCACTACAATAAAACAACAAATTCGTTGATAAATAAAAAAGTTGCTTTATGCACTCACCTTCAGATCGCCCTGATGATCGTAAAAGGTCTGCGGCGAGAGGGCGGCTTTCAGTCTGCGATTTCGGTAAAAGATAAAAGTGATGGCGGCTAAAAGCATCACAATGACGGTCGTTAATATTCCAATCACTAAGCCGATTAACTGCTTTGATTCCGGCTCTTTGCTCTTGTCTGGAACTGCAAATGTAACGCATCCCCCGAGGCGAGGGAGTGCTCGGTGTTTTTAAATATGAATGCAGTACAATATATATATATGTTTGTGTATATAATGTAAATCCGCGAGCGAGCTTTATTTATGGAAGTGCAACTTGAGTAATAATAATTGCGACGGCGACGATCGCGACGACGATTCTGCTTGCCGATGATAAGTGAGTTTTAATTGGAAAAATAGCGCCGGTCGAGAGAAAAGTATTTCAGGATTGTATCGATGAATTAAAAAGCATCTCTCTCTCTCTCTCTTTCTCTCGATAGAATTATTTTACACACACTGAATGTTGTTTACGTGCCGATCGTTATGCGTTAATTTACGTATTATGTACTCGAAACATTTTTTTTTCAAAAATCCACGCATATTTCAACAAAGAACACGGGCTAATAATTTGAAACGAAAATAAATGCCTCGCCGTGTATGTGACTCTCAAGGTATACCTTGAATTTTTTCCTCATTTTATTTTTTTTATCAACGAACGAGTGAAACACATCGAGCTCTAATATATATTTTAACGGCGCATTACGTTGGTAATTCTTTTGTCAAGAGGATGAAAACGTGAAAGCTCGAAGCGTTTAAACGGCATCCTCACTCGTCAATCCCCGATATCAAATAGACAGTGGGTGTACTACTCACGAGTTATCAAAACAATGTGGCCGGCGCGCACCGCAAGGTCCATTATCTTAATACGAGGTCAATCCCCCATATGTACGCACGCGTATACCAATTGTGTAATGCATAGCTCGCGAGCGCGCAAAGGGGCTGCTGCTGCTGCTGCTGCTGCGAGAACTTTTAAAAGATGAGGGATTATAAATTGCCCGGCGCAAAAGTCGCCGGGATTAAAACTGCGGACGCGTATGAGAGGAGTCTTGGACCTAATGCCGCGTAATGGACCTTTTTTCTTCGAACCATTGCAATATTCAAGACTTCCAAAAAAAAAAAAAATGATCGATACGCTGCATGTACGAAAGCATCGATGCACGAGCTTATTGCGCGGCGCGACGACCCAATAACGCGCTGCGCTCGAGAGTTCGTTGACAGAGAAGTGCCATGGTTACAAAAATCACCTTATGCTTTCGTTACTACGGCACACATTTATATAATATCCGTGAGCGTTTGCGAAACTCGGCTCTCTGCGAGGCGCGCATCATAATATATCATATCGACTAACGTACGTGTATAAAAGAGACTCGCTGGCAAAATATCACGTATACACACGCGCGTATGTGAAGCACACACACACACACACACAGAAATGCACACGTAGCCGAGAGCGAGATTTTTTTTCTGCTGCAACTAGCTGTGCCCTGGGCACATAACTCACGACGCGCGCGTGGAAGCCTCTTCGCTGTCAGAATGTTTATATTACTCTAATGGCTCCATGGCACAAGCGTATCACTGCGCCGCTTACTGCACGCGCGCGCGCGCACCCCGTTTTCTCCTTTCTTTCTTTCGTTTTTTTTTTTCATATAAGCTTTTTGCGCCTCTCTCTCGCTCTCTATAAATACACAAGGAAAGGAAGAGGAAGAGTAAATACGTTTTCTCTTCTTTTTTTTTCGCTCTCTCTCTTTCTGTCGGGTGGGTATAACGCGTGTGCATTCTTAAAAAGCCAGGATGTGCCTCTTCTTTTGAAGCTTCTTTTGAGTAGGAGCCATAACTTGGTGTACCCGAAGGCGCTGTAACGAGGCCACGAGCGCGCCGGAGCTCTGATAAAAGCGAGCTAAAGGCCAGGAGGCAAAGGATAGAAAAAAGTACAGTTACATTTGGAAGATTCGATAAGTGAATATATAGTTCGCGACTTGCTCTACATCTGCATACGTATATTCTCTGCCTTGTTCCCCCTCCCCCCCCCCCCCTCAGCCGTNCCCCCCCCCCCCCCCCTCCTTCAGCCGTGAAAGTAATTACCTTATGTGCTCGTGCTTTTTTTTTTATATTTTAAAATTATGAATTATAAACTGTTTTCTTTGTGAGGGAAAGAAAAGTTTCGCGCAAGTGAGAGAGAGTGTCGGACTTTTAATTGAGTTTATGCGCCAAACTTCAAAAATGTATACACACCGCATTAAGCGCGGCTGAGCTTTAAAAACTGAGAGAGAGAGAGAGAGAGAGAGAGAGAGAGAGAGCTTTTTAAAACGTTAAAGTCTTATTATCATATAACTGCGAAGAGTATCTAGCACGTGTAACTTTGAGGCGCCTTCCGCTGCTGCGCAGGTAACAATCACTAAAACTGCGGCACAACTATACTACCAGACGCTTTGGACAAATTTTACGCGATAGTCTTATCGTACACGCAACTGTTACAAAGGGTGTGACCCAGTAAATGGCCCGTGCCTATTCAATTTGACGTTTTGCGTAGCGAAAAATTAATTCAAAATCTAGCAGAATTCGACGAGTTGCTCGAAGATTACAACCATCTGACAAATAAATTTCAGTAAATTCATTCTACGTTAAGATGATCCCGGGTACATGGTAATTTTAATGGGCACTCGCGGTTGCCACGCCATTAATTTAAAACTTATCCCCCTCTCGCGCATTACGTATTTTTGAGCCCTTTTTTCGAAAAACTTCTATTCAAAGCCTTCGGTGGCTTTCCCGAAGATTTATTTTCATTTGTGAGACACGAGATTGTATGCATCTCGCAAACAACTACTACTACACGGTAATTGCCGCAAACTATTTTTCATTTTTATTATTTTTTTTTTGTTCGCCCCTCGAGTCTCGAGCAATTTTTGTACATTATTCAAGTGTACCATTATTTCATTGCTCGCTTCTGTACCGCGCGCGCGCGCTGCTGCTGTGTATTTCTTTTGCATGACAATAAGCTTCATAAATAAAAAAAAAAAAAAAGAGAGAAAGAGAAAGAAAGGAGAGGAACTCACAAGCAGTGTCGCCGGTTTCATCCTTATTCAAAGTAGCCTTTACTTCGTCTCTTTGAAGTGGACCCTCATTATGCTGAAATGGAACTGCCGTTGTCGAGGCCGACGCGGGCGACGTCATCGTCGACGTCGTCGTCGCCGTCGTGGACTTGGTCGCGTTTTTAGCCTTCATCTCCTCCGTTATCGTGTTATTGTTCCATTCCGAAATTACTGGAAAAATAATTAATAAACAGCTCATATTATAATTGTTGTCTATTTTTTCTTTCTTTCGGATCACAATGACATCGAGCTCTAAGCGCGCTGGGCAAGAGCTGTAACGATGGAATAATAATCATATTGCCCGTGTTCGTATAAAGCAGCTTTGTTCACGCAGGCAAATTATTAAGTCGAATAATTTATAGGTGCGCAGCGCGGATCGAATTCGCGAGGATCGCGCGTCGAATAAACGATCTCTTTGAAAGCTCATCCCCTCGTGCGCGGTATCGGTACATAATGACGTTTCATTTCGCCCGAAATTATTTATTATACCTATTATAACAATCTCTTGCCTCTCACCGATTATCAGCCGCACGAGCTCTCGTAAGCATTACGCGTCCTCGCAATATTATTATAAATAAAAGTATACATCATAACGCGGCTCAACGCTTGGCCGCCGTCATTTTATATAATGCAAAATATAGTCCGGGCCGTAGTATGATTAATAGTCCATCGTGTCTTTAACGCGTGTGTGTATACGAAACGGGGGTAAGCCTCCGTGTGTATATTATGTGTGCTATATAATAAGTGCAAAGTCACAAAGCGTCGCGCGCGCCAGTTGGACAACTTCACTTTCGGCGGCTCAGGATGTGTATTATTATTACTATACGAACTATATAACTGCAAGTTTCTCGAAAACGTCACTCTCGCGCTCAAACGCTTTATCCACGAAAGTTGCGTTATATATACATAAGCCGGCTATTTATTGTAGTTGGCCCGAAGCTTTTGAGAGCGAAGCGTTTGTTTTTGGGGAGGGTGAAACGAAAGTTCGAGTGCGATTATCGCGCCTGCGCGGCATGCCAGGCTGCACACGGCACGCTGCAGCGCAACGTCGTTACTACTAAGTTGAATTGAAATTTTTGCATCGCCCCCCCCCCCCTTCCCTTCTTTTGATACGTATATATACCCGCGCGTACACACAGCCAAAGTTTGATGCCTCGGGAATTTATTTAAAACGATAATAGCTGCAGCGCGCAGAAAATATAAACTAATCGCCCAACCGCGAAACTCAATTTCGACTACACGGCCACTTACCGGATTCGAAAACAATTTCGCTGAGCAGTATCCACCTGGCGGCGAAGTACAGCTGCAGCTTGACGAAGCGTCCGGCGCGCGAGTGCAGCTTGACGGTGACGTCGCGGGCCTGCTCCAGCACCACGTCCGGCATGTACGAGAAGTGCACGGGCTCGCTCTCGAATTGGCCGGCGCCGCTGCCGAAGTACACCTTGGCGTGGCTGAATACCTGATCGATGGAAAAAGAAAAAAAAGGGCAACGATAAGAGGATCGAGTATGAACTTTAATTGAAAAAATATGTTGCTAGTAATATAAGTTTGGCCCACATATTTTTTGTATGTATACCTGAACGTCCTTGGTAAAAAAGTTGTTCGTATGAAGATGCATGGCGGTGAAGTTTCTCACGTAATCGAACTCGAAAATTATTTCCACGGGTCGTCCCAGGGTGTTCGGAGTGTCGTTCCTCCAGCCGACCCACTCGTAGCCTGCGAACAAATTTATATTTTCATTCCTCTGTAAAGTAGGGTCCTCGCTAAAAACTTTGCAGGGCAGAACTTGAATTTTTCTTTTTTGACCCCAATACTATATGTAACGATTTGATTTGATTCTCGAATTTCACGATACGACAATTCGAAATCGGTATGTAGCCGCCGAAATAAATTCCACTCGCAATAACTGCGAAATCAATTAAAAACGATCCCGCTATTTATGAATCTCAAGGTAAAGGTTCCGAGATATCGCAACGAGACGTATAATCGAGAAAATTCCTTTATGTCGCGAGCCGCGCAGACACATTATACGCGCACGCGTTTCGCCGTCTCCCGGTACCCGGGGTTAACGTTTTATACGCTCATACCTATGCAGCATATCTATATCTAAGTGCACGACGACGACGACTACGACGACGACGCCGGGAGAAAGAGAGTCATTGCCATCTCCGAGATAAGCGCGTGAAAAAGTCGTCGTAGGATCGTTGCTGGCGACGCAAACACGTGTGCGCGCAGCGCAGCGGCCGGTAATCGAGAAAAGCCGCAGACGCACGCTGATTTCTTGGCGCGATTCGAGTGCGGAGAGAAAGAGAGAGAGAGAAGCGGAAAAGAGAGAAAAAAAGGAGCACCGCACAAAAGTCGTTTAACAGCTACTCAGGGCTGTTTGCTGCCGCGCGCTGCGTATCAGCGCCGAGAAATCGTCGTCGTCGTCGTCGTCGTCGCTTCCAGCCGCGCGCGTATACGGTTTGACGCGTTAGATTCGCTCTCGATGGCGATCAGCTCATATACTTGAGAATTTTTGAACGACGTATAACTGGATTGCGAGATCGACGTATGCGTCTTTTTTGTTTTTATTCTTCGAGCGAAGATCATCGTTGTCGTAAGAATAAGAAAATTCAAATCGCGGTCGATATCTTTCATCTTATATATCTTTAAAAATATCAATATACCCAGCTCGTCCATACGCGTATGTATATAAATAAGAACGAAATGAAGAAAAAAAAGGTCCATATAGAAAAACACAGAGTCGATTCGGATCCACCCATACGACTTACACACACGCGCGCATAAAGATACAGCCGCGATATTGTAGATTCGGGTACATCAACATCGAGGTGGAAAAGTAAGTGGTATAAGCCAAACCAGCCGCGCGCGACTAGACGACAGACTCGGCTCTCTCGACTTCAATATGTATGTAAATCGAAAGCAGATTTGAGTGTTGCCGAGCAGTAGTAGTAGTAGTAGTAGTAGTAGTACGAGTCGTGTGTTTGACTGTACGTATACGTATGGAAAATCTACAAACTGCGTCGCTATCTCTCTCGGTCTCGTTTGCCCGTTTGGTTTTTTATGCGAAGCACCCACACACCGCGTCCGACTCTTGTGCGGTCCTCGCTATACTACGGTAGCCCTCGTTGACTCGACTTCCTCTTAGCGATCGGTACGTTTTTCTAAGCGGGCATGTGTAAGACGTATATCATCGTCGAAGTGCTGAGCAAGAGCCTAATTTCACCGATATGAGATAAAATTTATATCCTCGAGAAAACAATACGAAACTGATGTTACACACCACAAAAAAGCCGGTTCGATACTAGTAGATCATCGTAACGACGCACTCATACGTTCGGTGCAAAAATGGCGATTATCTCGCCGTCGACGAATTCAATTTTCCATCTTACCTTTGCCGTTTCCGTACATATCGAGCCTGAAATTGTCCGGGCCTTTTTGTCCGTCCACCAATTGTCCCAATCCGCCGGTGAGGTACTCGGCTTCCTCCGTGCCGTCGTAGGTTCGATCCGTTAGGTCCAGCTCGTAGCCTCTGCGCACACCTTGCGGCATCGAGTACGCCACGAGGCCATCTGTTACATATAATTGAAGTAAAAAGTTTTTTTCTCGATCGAGTGAATTTTTCATCACATCCTAAAAATGTGTGTATCCAAGTTTTACGGACACGCATAATCTTCATTAAACGTCCTGATCTGACTTTCCAGCGCATTATATTCCCTTCCACTTTACGAGGTATACTATGAGCGCACAGAGGTCGAGTGGCTGCATTCAAAATTAACCCTGGATTAAATATATGATCGGACCGGTCGGTAACGCAGCTGAGCTAACAATAATCCGTAACGGGTTTTCCGAGCTAGGCATATAATACGTACGTGTATAATACACATACGGAGTGACATCGTATATCCATCGAGGCTTTGCTCTCGTTGCCTTTACCATCTGGGTAACTATATGACTGCTATAGCTAGTATGTACATTATGATTAGTATCACGAGTTGAAAAGTACAAAATATTACGAGTACTCGTGAAAACTTTAATAAATGTTTTTTTTTTATCTACTCACACGCGGGGTTATTTATTTCTTCTAATATTTGCAGTAAAAATTTGCAGAAACTGTTGTCAAAGTACTTCAAAGACTTCTTTACGAACATATAAGCCCATCGCGAGACACCGATAAGACTATATCAAAGGCTAATAATTTTTGTCTCCGTAAAAAGAAAATCGAACTCCTCCAGACGGTATTTGTTTCTATTTTGCTTTGCCACGCGTACATCTCGTAAATTTCACTTTCATGGCTCAACGTGTGTTTTTAAAATCCGCTTTCCCTCTCTCACCCTCTCGTTTTTTTTTTCCTATACGTCTACGGAGCTGCGTAGTCAAAAATCTAAGCTCGCCGCCGGAGTTTGTGTGCCGCAGACGTACGTACGCGTGGGGTGAAAGATCGGCGCTCGACGCATAATACATAAGAAGTATGATCCCGTAAATTTCACTCACCGCTCCAAGGACAGCCGTAAAGTTCGACCCTCATGCAGACTATGCGTATGTGCGACGTGTAGGGTATGAAGCGGACTTTGCTGGCTACCAATGGCGGATCGAAGATCTGCTCCTTCTCCGTTTGGGGATTGTCGTTGCCCACCAGCAACTGTAAGCATAATAAAACGGCGGGCGATTTGAGTATACATATATAAATTAGTTGGCGCGTCGCGTCATAAAACGCAGACGCCAACAGAATGACAAAGTGTAATTTTATGTTCGTAAAAAATCGATCGCGACGGTTTGTTTCGAATAAATTTTTTCCTACATTTAAAATCTTATGAGTTGTCTGATGTTAAGGTAAAGTGTTGGGAATGGCTGATTGATTCGTGCAAACTGAACGATAATCATATAGGAATATAGAAGAATATATGTTACATTAAGTTTTCTGCAATTTTATATAAATGTTTTATGATTCTTATAGTTTTTTTTTTAAATGCAATTTTTAATTCGCTTATATTATGATATTCTGCTATCATTTAGCAATTTTTAAATTGCGCAAAGTATTAATTTCTGGGTCCAGGAATCACTGTCGACACACAAGTTCCATAGCACAATTGTAAAATCGACTTGGAAGACGTCGCCACCGACTATATACGATTACAAACACAAGATGGCTTGACATTTAAACACGTGATCGAAGTGATCCGAACATTTAGATTTAAGGATGTTCTCCATGTATTCGCGTTTACAATTCTAATTGTTCATTTGAAAGAGAAAAGTAATCTTTTCGACAGTAGTTGATTAATTTTTGTATTCAGTCGCTTTAAATGTTCACCCACTCTACCATCATTCGCTTAACTCTACTTTCCTATATAAAATTGATTAATTTTGATTAATTTCTAATAGCTTATAACGTGAAAAATCGAACCATGCGAATGTACACGGCTGACAATGGGTTTCATTATTATTCGGCTCAGTGGCACTCGTATTTATATTCTTGTAGAATATTGCAAAAATGTAACTCGGCTGACGCTAGCTCGCTAAGTAAAGGCGCATTCTCAGCGTCGTTTTTCCACAAAATCCGATTATGGGTACGCGCGCTCGCGCGAGCTCGCGAAAGGCAGGAGAGAGATAGAGAGAGAGAGAGAGAGAGTGCAGCAATCTGAGTGTGCAGTATACAGCCCCTAGAGTAAGGCGGGTGAAAAAAAAGGACAGAAACAAAATAGGTGAGGGAAAGGAATGAAAGAAAACGGGAGGAAAATAGCTTCTCTAAATGCAAATTCGAGCGTTAAATCTGTACTATCCTTTCTGTTTTTACCGTATTCATTCAATGCCCGATACCTTTTTCTTTTTTTCATTTGCATTCTTTATTTACTACTTCTCGTTTTTTTTTCCATGCATCTCAATGTTTTCGACTTCTTTACAACTGCGCGTTGGCGTGTTTCTAAAATTCATCATCGCCGTGCAATCCCGGGGCGAACGACACGATCATTGGGATATTTTTAGTTCCCGAGCGGTGTTGGTATCGCAGAACAGCGCTATTACACACTGCATTGTCACTCAAACCACTAACATCGTGTAGAATCTATAATTCAATGCTCTCCAGGTGCGATATCTATAGAGTTCTATTAATCAATTTTTTGGCAAAAAAGATCGACAAATATACTTTTAATCGGACTTTCAGCAGCAGAATATGATCTAACGTTTATGTAAAACTTTTTTAATATTTTATATAAATTCACAAATATCATAAATGTAAATAAAACATGAATTTTTATAGACAGACAATATAAGATATAACGAGTAGTAAGGTATACGCCTCTATTTTCGATCAGTTAGGCCCTAATTTCGATCAAATTTAAATCAATTTTTTATATAGGACTAGCGAATTACCTCGCTCCCTCCCGCTCGCTCGGTATAGTCAGGGTTTTGTAAGCATTTTTGAGAAAGCAAGAAATATAAAATAGGTTTCCACAAGGTATATACCACGTATATACACTGATAGAAATATGGTTCGTCTGGCAGAAACGGAGCCGTTTCTACGGGCGAAACGGGACCGTATCTACGGGCGAAACGGAGCCGTTTCTACGGGCGAAACGGATCCGTTTCGTCAGACGAAACGGATCATTACATCATACCGCACTGCCGACACACACTCATGCACGCACATACTATAACAACAGTTGGAAAATGTATACAAACAAAAACATAACCAACACGGTAGAGCGTGCCAAAACTCGAAGTTCGACTGCTACGGGAGGTAGTCGGTAGCATATGTGTAATGTTGCAGTTCGGGGGCGCTGTACAACGCTCGCTACTCGCAAGGCCAAAAAAAGACGAAGTCGGTAGCATATCTTCTGTCTCCTCTCCGTTTCGTGTGCTGTGACTCGTGCCATGAGTCTGCTACTGTTACATCAAAAGCGTATATGTACAAGGAAGTGTAAAATACTTATCAAATGCAGCTTTATTTGTTGATTTTCACCTTTTCGTGGAGATGTCCAACTGCTGGTCCAACTATTGAAACACTTAACCTACAACAGTACCAAACTGTTGTGATGAGTACATGTGACCTGTAAACAGTAGCATACTCACGGCACGAGTCACGGCACACGAAACGGAGATAGACAGAAGATATGCTACCCAATACCTGCGGTAGCAGCCGAACTTCGAGTTTTGGCACGCTCTACGGTGTTGGATATGTTTTTGTTTGTATACATTTTCCAACTGTTGTTACAGTATGTGCGCGCATGAGTGTGTGTCTGCAGTGCGGTATGATGTAATGATCCGTTTCGTCTGTCGAAATGGATCCGTTTCGCCCGTAGAAACGGCTCCGTTTCTGCCAGACGAACCATATTTCTATCAGTGTAGAATGTATATATACCTTGTATTTACAAGGCATGTACCAGATATATATGGGTCAAAATAATACTTTTTTACAAAACCGTGCGCACGTATGTCACCGATCTTGACGAGCTTTTGGTATGTTATAGTACATGGTATAAAGGTCCAAAAAAAAAATTTTAGACTCCCTCCCCCTCCTACCCCCACTTCCGGTATAAACGTCCATTTTCGATCTATATTTTTTCTGAGGACATGAAGCAAGTAAAAAATCTGAAAAAATTCATAAAAATACTTTTCCACAATCCAAATAACCTTGAATTTTTTCAGATTTTTTGAGTGCTTCAGGCCTTCAGATAAAATCATTGAAAATTTCAAAAATCGAGATACGGCGGTATGAGCCGATGTAGTACTCGGAAATTTTTTCAGTTTTTTATTGCATTGGAAAACATAACCTCAATTTTTTTCAGATTTTTTCAGATGACCTAACGCACCTTTTGTAGCCAAAAACCGCTTTTTTTAACGAAAATAATTTTTTTAGGACAGTACCAAGCCTCGAAAAATCTGAAAAAAATTTTTTCTTGTTTTTTTCATCAAAATACATAATCTCAAATTTTTTCAGATTTTTTAATTGAAGGCGATAGCTTCTAGGGCCGAAAAATGCCATTTTTAACAAAAAATGGTTCCTAGAACCCGATGGTTCCGGTGAAAAAATTTGAAAATAATTTTTTTGAATTCCTTGTCAAATTTTAATAAATTTTGACCTTTAAAGTTTCCTTTAGGCAATCTGGTCCGAGTTACGGGTCGGCGGGGCACTTGCCCGGGTTGAAACTCGAACACGGGGTCGATCGCGAAAAGGGGAAGAGGGAATATCGGCGCTTGGTATCGGAACCTTGCACTGAGATATTCTCGTTCGATGGACTATGTCCGTTAATTAGTTCTGAGACTAAGTTCGTTGATCGTTCTCGAGATCAAGTCCGTGAGACAGCTCCGTGGTCAAGTTCATCACGGATATTCCCCTATCAAAGCTCAAGTCCAACAGAGGTTGTCCATGCAACTATTTCGCAAGTTGATCAGCCAAGAGCTTTGGGGGATGCTCAGGTGATTGTTCAAGAATTAATGACGACGCGTCAAAAGACTGCACTCCTTATATACTCGACGGGGTATTGGCGGCGCGAGGAGGAAAAAAGGAGGGGAGCCGCCGGTTTTTGGTGGCTGGAGGGCAAAGGAGGGAGTGCCACTGATTGTTCGGTAGGCGGAGTTGCGCCGATTTCGGAAAAATGTCGTTGGATTTTTGGTGGCGGCGCGAGTTCGGAGAAATTGCCTATCTTGGTACGCATTTGCCGGCGGCGTCTTCCATCTCGCGTTCGGGAAATTTCGGCGGCGTCGTCTCATCCCGAGTTCCCTTCGCGTGCGAGTGTCCTTTTTCTATCTTACCAGCTCCGGTCCTGCCTCTGGTGGGTAAGGTAGTTTGTGTGTGTGCATGTGCGTGCTCATGAAATAGCCGTGCATGCACAGGAAAAAGCCGGGCATGAGCAGCGCAGCGCTCATCGCGCGTCGGTCGCACAGCTCGGTACTTATTGTCGGAATTACTCATTTTCTAACACGCTGGAAAACATCCTAAACCACTTAAAAAAAATTAAATATATTAAAAAGCGTAATTTTAAGATTTTTTAAAATAGTCTAGCCCGAAAACTGAGAAAATTTCCCATCGATATGCAAGTTTTCATAGAATGAAAATAATTATTACTTATTAAACCACAGCGATAAACGTGTAAAAACGCGTTTTTACACATACATCGATGTAGTTCAGCTAGTAAAAATAAAATGAACCATCTGGAAAATGTGTATTCAGATGAAAATTTTCTCAGTTTTCGATCTAGACTATTATAAAAAATCTTAAAATTACGCTTTTTATATATTTTTAATGTTAAAAGTTTATTTTTTTAATTTTTCGGAGAAAAATAGATTTTTTAAAAAATCTGAGCACATTATCAGAAAGCTGAGAAAATTTCCAATCGAAATCATAGGTCACATATTTTTTTATAAGTAGGTTTAGGAGGTTTTCAAGCGAGTTAGAAATTAAGCAATTTCGTCAAAAAGTGCTGTGCGACCGCCGCGTTGGGACGCTGCTGCTCGCGCACGGCTTTTTCTTGTGCGTGAGCCTGAAACTCATGCTCTCAGCGAGCACGGCTCACAGCTCGGAGCCAGTTTTTCCCTGTACCTTACCCACTTCGAAAATTTGAAAGATTAAACGTATTCCTCTGATCTAAAAAAAGCAAAGGTCAACTCGGAGTTGTTTCGTGGGGAATCGAATTACGGAACTGA